TACTTCTTCTGCTTCTTATTCTCTTCATGTCTCGCGCAGGCCGCGAGCAAGGTCTTTACAGGTTTCAACTATGGCGCCTTCTGGAGCCTGGAAGCCAACGTCAAGAAGAAGGCAGACTTTCTTGATGGCTTCAACTTAGCAAGAAATCTCACCACCGACATACCCTTCGATAGTGCGCGCCTGTTCACTTGCAAAGCAGCCGGCACTGTCAATGAGCCTACTGAAGCTTTCGATGCAGCAGTCGACTCCAAGACCAACCTGCTCTTAGGATTCTGGATCACGCCAGGACAGAAAGGCGGCTCGCTGGACGAGAACGTCAAGGATGAAATGGCTGCACTCGAAAAAGGATTCAAGAAACATGGCCAAGCCCTTTCAGATCTAGTTATTGGGCTCTCCATCGGCAGTGAAGACATATACCGTGCCGAGGAGGCCGGCGAGATAGGTGTCACTGCAGCAGTTGTCGGACAAACAATCGCCCAAGTCAAGAAAGACATCGCTGCCTCGTCATTTGCTCAGTACATGAAGGACAAGCCGATTGGCCACGTCGATACAGCCAAGTATGCAGTGGTGGACAACGCTGACTTTATTGGCATGACTGCATATCCATATTGGAATAAAGACAGCATCGAATCAGCAAGCACAAGCTTCCAAAGTTCTCTCGAGCAAGTCAAACAGCACGCAGGTAACCGACCTGTATGGATCGCTGAGATGGGCTGGCCCTCTACTGATACCGAATCACACGGCGCTGCAGTTGCGGGTGTGAACGAAGCACAGAAGTTCTGGAGCGAAGCTGGCTGTGCTGTGTTTGGTAAATACACTACATTCTACTTCGAGTTACTTGAAGATACAACACCAGAACAGAAGGCTGATTGGAGCATCATTGATACCAACACTCGACAGTCAAGGATCAGGAACTTGAGCTGTGGCAATCCACAGGCCAAGCTCCCTACTGGCGCATCAGCTATCTCGCAAGCATCATCTCAATCTGTTGGGTCGACGCCCCCAAGCATACCTGTTTCTGTCTTACCAGTCACTCCAAGCGCGCCAGCGGTGATACCGTCGTCTGAATCTCCGTCGACCGGATCAAGTACCATGCACGTCACGGTAACGAGGACGACTACAGTGACTCCACAGCCCATCTTACCATCACTAGCTGCATCCGGCGACACGTCATTGACCACTTTCATAGTGACTATGACGAGCACTACTATAATAACGGAACAGGCCTCGATTGTTACTTCAGCGAGCGGGAATCAATCATCTTCCCCCACCGATGGTGTCGCTCCACTTGGCAAGTTGTATCCCCGAACAAAATCCGTCAAAGCTAACATGTTACAGCACAATTTCAAGTGGCGATAGGTCCCAAAACGGTCACCGTCAATACCACATCAACAACCATTGTTTTTGCAGAGACTACAACGATAGCCGCCCCGAGAGACGTACCCCTAGATGTCGACTGGTGCATCACAGTCGTCGACATGGACCGAAACAGCAAACCTATCACTATCGCCGCGGGCCCTGCTGGGCTAGATGGAGAATGCATCTCACCTCCAACTTATCAAGGATACCCGTATATAACAGCACGATCAGCAGCGGAGCCGTCTAAGATACCCATCGGAACAAATTGGTGTGTTACGGTGGCCGATATTGACCGCAACGGTCGTCCTATACCTGTTGATGCCGGGCCCGCTGGAGCAGATGGCGAGTGTAGTGTTCCCCCAACTTATAGCGGTATACCTGTGATTACTGCTTTGACTAGCGACTCGGGGGCGCCTGAGCCATCGAAAGAGCTGCTGCTGATGTCTCAGACTATGGACCTTGCTTCGCCTTCCAGTATTCAAGTGCTAGCAGGCACTGTTGCGTCTTCGGCAAGCGCTGTTACCCCATTACCTAGTAAGTCGCTTAGCTGAGTTGGCACTTTGGTTATTTATAACGATCGCCATAGCATCATCGGAAAGGTCGCAATGCAAACGTTGCGAGCCCCGATCTACACCATTGCCTGCTTCAAACTCAACAGTATTAGTCCCAGCATCTATCACGACATCAACATCTCTCTATCTTGCCACTTCGTTCAGGATACCTTCCGGTCCATTCGGCGCTACGCTTTCCGACTCCCCCACTTCTATGCTGTCGGCTGCGACGGACGTCAAAGTGACCGTTGAAGATGGGCACAAAGTGGCAATCAGACGACGAGGGATCAACAATCTCTTCAAGTGGATTCGGATGTAAGTGACTAGAGCCACAGAGTAAATTTTGTCTATACTCTATCGGTCATCACTTCTGCTTTTGGTCCTTAATGTCGACATTAGTAGGAAGGTGTTGTGAGTGTAAGTATGAATGAGATAGAGTGCAGTGTAAACAGCAGGGTTTCCTTGAGATCTTACGCGCATGAGATGCGTGCCGAACGCGTTGCTAGTTAGGTTTTGAGAAATAGTTGGCAATGCATTCCATAGTATCGCACAATAGCATGAACTGTTGCATTGTTTTGTCGAACTATATTATCTTCCCATTATCGGATTTCTAATTTAGCCGTCCACAGGTCCATGCACATAATTCGAGAATGACACCCACAGTATGAGGAGAGATGTTCATCAGCCGTCGTATAAACGGTAGGATTGTTTGTTTGTTCATTCATGTGATATCTCATCTCTCGTACCAGCTAACGTAAGTTTTCCGTAACCGTTAAGAACCCGAAAAAGTCCACCATGAGACACCTGATAGACTCCGAATTCGCACTTTTGCGGATATAACCCGATAACTCGAAACGCACTAAGATGCTAAAGGCGCTTGCCTATATCTTTCTATCAAGGTAAATGGTAGACATCGATAGACCAGAAACATCGATACACAAATCCACAGCGCAATGCAATGTCTGACGCGACTCGCTGGGGATGGCACGCGTCTAAGCAGCAGCCGCTACCTAGGCAGCGGGAGTGGAGGTGGCGGGAGGGTTCTCGACGACCTTCTCGGGAGTCTCGTTGGTGGCAGCGGTCTCGGTGAGAGGAGCCTCGCCATCGGCGGGCGCGTCGGGAGCATCATCCTCCTTGCCGGGGGAGTCGATCGCGACCTTAACGGCGATCTCACGGCCCTCAATTTCCTTGCCGTTCATCTCGGAGCAAGCTTTCTGCTGGAGCTCCTCAGAGCCGAGGGTAACGAAACCGAAACCACGGCCCTTGCGGGGCTCACCGCGGGCCTGGAGCTTCTTAACCATGAAGCGGGGGATGGGGCGGAGGGCGATCTTGGCCTGAGTGGGGGAGTAGTCCTTGAAGATCTCAAGAAGCTGGTTGACTAGTCAGCATACGCTGCGAGAAGGGAGTCTGTAAACTTACCCTATCCTCCTTCAGGTCGTACGGCAGGTTCGCAACCATGACCTTGGTCTTGGAGGGAACGCCATCCTCGGGAGGACCGCGCTGCTTGCGCTCACGGGGTCCCTGGGGAGCGGACTTGTCGGCACCCTTCTTTGCGGTAAGCGCTTCGTTGGTAGTTTCGGTTAGAGGAGCAACTTGGCCGGGTACATTTGTAGGGGTGGAGTCGGCAGGAGCCTCGTTGGAGAGCTCGACCTGCTCGGCACCTTCAGCATCGGCCTTCTTGTGGAATTTGATTAGCTTGTGCACACAATTTGTAGTGTGGGAGGGCACTTACAGCACGTCCACCGCGTCCAGCACGGCCGCCACGGCCACGACCGCGACCACGTCCACGGGTGGAAGTACGGCGACGAGCCTCGCCAGTGTTGCCCTCGGCTCCGCTGCCGGCGCCCTCAGCGTGGGCCTCGGGAGTGCGGGCAAGCTGGATGGAGACCTTGCGGTCGAGGATGGCCTTGCCGTTGAGCTCAGCAATGGCACGCTCGGCCTCGGATGGGGTCGAGAGGGCAACGAAGGCATAGCCGACGGGGCGCGAGGTGCGCGGGTTGGTGGGGATGGTCGTGGACTCGCTGTGCGACGTGTTAGCTTCGCCCTCTTGCGTCATGTGGAGAAAACAGGGTCCACTTACACCAGGTAGTCCTTGAAGAACTCCTTCAACTCCCCCTCGGTGGTCGCGTACGCGAGGTTTCCAATGTAAAGTCGCCTGCCCTCAGCGGCGCTTGCACGCACAGCCTCGTCCTCGGCTGCGGTGGGTTGTTGAGCGCCAGTGCTCTCCGCGGTGGTGGTGGTGGTGGCGGCGGCGGGAGCGGCGTTGTCGGTGAGGGAGGTGGTGGCCATCTGGGCGGTGACACTGTCGACAGGTGCGGACATGATTGCTGAAGTTTGGGTGGTTGACGAACACGAGTGGAGATCGAACGTGTAAGAGGTTGAGGAAACTTGTCGTCCTGGTAGACCGGTAAAGGTAACCTTGAACAGTAGTTGGTGATTGAGTGGTTGATGGGATTGTCGAACCGCCTGTTGGTGGAACTGTTGACGAGGGGGGTGTGGAGTGGGTAGCTACGAGCCCGGGGAAGGTTGAGAGAGGATTGGGGTGATGGGGTGCGTGGTTGGTCTCTGTTGTTGACTTGATGGGGGAGAAAGGGAGCAGGCCTCGCCCAGGCAGATTATTTTGAAGAGCGCAGCCATGGGGCTTGGCCGCATCCGGTAACGGAAGCGGCCCCTGCGCACAATGAAGGGCCCACTTGCCTGTGAGCAGCTACCATGAGTGCATGGATAGGGGAAACGGCGACTAGGCGGCCGGGGCGAGCATGGACGGCGTTCGAGAGGGCGCAGGCAGGTGCATCGTGGCTGCGACCGCCGAGGGAGCACTCTCACCTGCATACCGCGCACCTCGCTCACTGTTGCGAGAGTGCTTTCGCCAAGCTCGACGCCACACGTCGCCCTAGCGCCACAGTAGACCTCCAGCTTGGCGCGCTGCATGACGCTCCAGCTTCACTTCCGCCCCACCGCCCACTGCCGCTAGAAGCATGAAAAAGACCCGCCTGCCGTTGACGTGTCCGCTAGTGCACCGCTTCTTCATGCACTGGATCCGGGGGGCCTGCATTCCAATCTCCCATCACTCGAGTCGGATTTACCGCCATGTCGAGTGCACTGCAGCCGCGCCGCGCCCTGGTTGTCTACGGCTCCGAGACAGGCAACGCGCAGGATGTGGCTGAGGAGATGGGACGCGTCGCTGAGCGACTGAGATTCGACACCGACGTCGCTGAGCTCAACGCCATCACTCTAGTATGTTCGCGGCGACGCTGCGTGCAAGGAACCATGGTTGACTGTTGGTAGAGGCAACTGCTGCAACATCACGTCGTCTTGATCGCCATCTCCACCACGGGCCAGGGCGAACTACCACCCAACAGCCAGAAGTTCTGGAAAGCCATCCGGAGCACTCGACTGCGGCCAGGATGCTTGCAGCACATGAGATTTGCATCCTTTGGTCTTGGTGACACGTCCTATCCAAAGTACAACTGGGCGCATCGCAAGCTATACAACCGGCTCGTGGCACTTGGAGCGCAGCCGATATGCGATCGTGGCGAGTCAGACGAGCAGCATCCAGAGGGGTATGTCAATATCATCGATGCTCCTTTCCATTCTGCCTTCTTTTGTGGGTTCTTATGTCATTTCGACTTGTCATCCTTCTACACACACCCCAACTTCATCCCGACTACCACCACATGTCTGACTATTCGAAAGCATCGACGGCTCCTTCCTACCATGGTCAACGAAACTCCGCCAACATCTTCTCGCCTCATATCCGCTCGCTGATGGTATCGAGCCGATACCGGACAATGTTCTGCTAGACCCGAAATGGCTGCTCGAGACTATAGACGATGGTGCAGCACCTTCACCAAAACTCGAATCTGTACCTGCGTTGAACGGCAACGCGCCTGATGCCCCTCCGTCTGATCTTCTCAACATATCCGGCGGACTTACTGCGAAGATCACAAGCAACGAGAGAGTCACTCCGACGACCCATTGGCAGGACGTCCGGCACCTCAAGTTTGAAATACCAGAGACACATCCATACGTCCCAGGTGATGTGCTTACAATCTACCCCAAGAACTTTCCCTCCGATGTATCTCAGTTCCTCGAATGTATGGGCTGGACGTCCAGGGCTGATGTACCTCTCCGCTTCGTCCCTTCATCGTCGTCGACACCTTCCCACGCCACTCTGCCCATCCGAAATATGGAGCAAGGTAGTACGATAACCTTAAGAGAGCTTTTAACCAACCATCTCGATATTATCGTTATTCCCCGAAGGTCGTTCTTCGCCCAGCTCGCGCATTACACGAGTGACGAATTCCACAAAACAAGATTACTTGAGTTTACGGACCCTCAATATCTGGACGAGCTATATGACTACACCACGCGTCCACGCCGCAGCATCTTAGAGGTCTTACAGGAGTTTGAATCTGTCAAGATACCTTGGCAGCGCGTGTGCAGTATCATTCCTACTCTACGCGGTCGCCAGTTCAGCATCGCGAGTGCGATGAACCCTACCACGGAGCTAGAAAAGAAAACAAAAATCGAGCTTTTGATTGCGATAGTAAAGTATAAGACAATTATTAAAAGAATAAGACAAGGTGTTGCTACGCGGTACATCGCTTCGCTCATAGCAGGACAAGAAATCACGGTCACGCTCTCGCGAGGCGGGCTTGGCGTGAGCAAAGATGAACTCGATAGACCGGTTGTTATGATTGGGCCAGGAACAGGTGTAGCGCCCATGCGTTCGCTAATATACCAACGCGTACAATGGCGCGAGGAGCATAACAAACTCCAGAATGGCCACGCGCAGGAAGATGACGAACCTGTAAAAGATTTACTGTTCTTTGGCTGTCGTAATGCCGAGTCAGATTACTTCTTCAAAGACGAATGGGCGCAGCTCCAGTCCTCCAGCGTGCCGTTAGAAGTCTTTGCGGCATTCTCCCGAGACCAGGTAAGATTTCAATTCCACTTGTTGACGCCCATGCTAACCACACGACAGCGCCAGAAAGTCTACGTTCAAGACCTTGTCCGTCAGCAATCTTCGCTGATATTTTCGCATCTTTTCCACAAATCTGGCATCTTATATATCTGCGGCTCGTCGGGCAAAATGCCTCAGGCTGTACGCGAAGCGCTCATTGAAGCTTTCCAGGGGCATGGCAGTATGGATAGAGAAGGCGCAGAGGATTATCTGGTGAGCATGGAGAAGAGTGGAAGATATAGACAAGAAACGTGGTAGAACCTTGGGGCGATAGGGCCGCCCTTGATTGCAGATCAGACATCGTAGGCTGTTTGATTTCATGAACGACGTTAGCACATCCTACCTTCCGATCTAGACGTGGAGGATTGAGATAAGAGTGGAGAGGGAGACATTAGACAGGTTATTGCGAAGATCATGAGAGGTGTGTGGATGCTGGATTGCAGGATCTGTGATACTGGATCAATTGTCTACACCGCGTACCTACTCATAGATATAACAGAAGGGTCCAGCAAGCGTGCTCGAAACCTCCTTGATAGTCATATTTGGGAAGCCCAGATACTCCCCAAATGTCATAACATCATCCAGCGTCGCATTTCTTGTTGGTGGGACATTCTGGAAAGTAAGGGTACCAGCAATAGTAAAGCGTCTCTCCTTCAAGTTTTGATTCTGCCAAATCCACCAAATTCGGTCAATTTGTGCGTGGTGGTTCCAAAAGTACGGGTCAGACGGAGAGCTGCAAAGGTGGAGATACCAAGTTAGTATATATCTCAGGTACATTCGTACAAGGGGTCTCACTTATAGAAATCGCTACCAGCATCGCCGCCGATTGTTTGATGACCACCAAGATGAACACGGAGTATTCCTGGAGAAGGGTTCTGAAGCATGTTTTGGAAAGCGGAGATATTGGCACTGTCTGTGATTAGTCCGGCGACGTTGACATCGGTGGTCTCGGATGATGAGCGGGTGTTGATGTCTCGCTTGATACACCTGGGGTTGTAGCCAAGACCATCAGGGGATGGATTTGGCTGTACAGTAGTGTCAAGAGACGAGATAGGTCCGACATGCATCTTCCAGCTGGAATTCAGTTAGTACGTAGGCGACGCAGATATTGCTCCTAGATGAGTGCTTACTTCTTGAAGGGTCCAGAAGCGACGCACCCACCTCCGTTACCGGGAGGAATTTCTACAAAGCATCGGCCTGGATTAGGCACGCAGCTAACATTGCGTCCGGGAACGTACTCTCCATCTCCCGAGATGCTCGTGTCGCTGCCATCGAGGAGTGGAGAAGCAGCAGGGTTATCAGCCCACAACGCCCAGTTGTAGTAGGGGAGATAGCCCTTGTACCCGCATTCGTTGCGCAGAGTTTGTTCCCACGCCCACATGAAGTAGCGGTGCCACGACAGAAAGTTGCCCTTATAGACATTAGTCATTCTGAGGAAATATTAGAGAGCAAAACTGAACGTACATTCCCGTGCGTGTATTGCGTTAGCAAGATGTGAGTAACAACAAAATCATCGTAGCGACTCTTAGCCCCTGCAGCAATGGCAGCCGGAGTTCTGGCCTTCTTTTGCCCAGTACACTGAACAGCGTCAATGTAATTCAGTTTCTCTAAACGCTTGAGTTTGGACCTGTATCATGTGAGAAAGGTAATCAAATCGCTTTCGTTAATCTCGTACCATTCACGTCGTCGAGCCACTGTTCTTTTGGTACATTTCGTCGAGTAGCTATTGGGATGTTTGGCGACGTCAAGCCATAGCTGGTCGAGCCCGTTTTTAGCTAGGGTATCAGTTTCGGGTGCTTTTGCCGCCATGGTGCTGCCAGCAAGGGCAAGTAGGAATATGAATCGCATGATGGGCCGATTCAAGATACAAAGGAGCTGATTACTGCTTCAACCGCTTTGCAGAGGAAGTAGGGATCCTTTTATGCGTAAGGAGTCGTAACACTGCGGATACTAGGCATGCAGCACCTGGAACAAGCGCGTCCGGATTCAGGACCTGGCTTTGTCGAGCATGGATAGTTTTCATACCTCTCGTGTGATGGCTAGTTATTTGCCGCCTCTCCGGGCATTAATGCCACGAAGAGACTCGTCTAGACATGCGGACTCAAAGTACCGACGCAAAGAGACTGCAGTACAAGCGGAACAGGCCACCGACTAACGCAGATGCTCCACCAGAACAGCATGATCGGGATTTCCAGCGCTTACCACAAATTGGAAACAGACAGCGCCATCTATGTCACCTTGCCCAACCAGCCGACGGGCGAACAAGCGTCAAACCGATAGATGATCTATGCTGAGCACAAAGTCGTGTACTAGACGGACGGCAGGCGTGTGGCGACCCGTATGCGAGGAACAATATCTTAGCTCCAGCTCTACAGCCGTATTACTGCGCCGCTCTGCTGCAGTGTTGTAATATCCAGCCGACATGGGCGTATGCATCAGCTGCTTGGCGTGGGAAGCGAGCCGAGGGGACGGATTGTGCTGCGAAAGCGCTCTGTCAACAGAACATGTTGCGCATCCCGTCTGTCATGTTTTGACTACAACGTGGGCTTGAAAACGAAACATTTAGGTTCCAAACAGAGTCAGGAAGAATGGTGGTTGATGTTCGTCGTTGCCGTGCACTTTCTCCGATCGCCAAGCTGCTAATCCACTCCCAGAAAACAATCGGATCTTGGGAAGAGCCTCGGGACATACTTGACACGACGCGCATTCAAACATTGCCTGCAACGATGACCACAGGACGGATATCAGTCAACGCTCTCGATAGCCTCCCTGACGAACTCATTCTCCTCATCCTAGATCAACTGGATGCAGGTGACTATTTCACGCTACGCGATTTGAACGCGACAAGCTCGCGATTTCGTCGTCTCACGATAGATCGACTCTATCGAAGATTTCCAGGTTGCTCCCCAGAGCAGTTCCTGCGTACCATAGCGCTGTCGCATCCAGACAAACGCCATGAATTCATGAATTATGTCAAGGAGGTGGTGTGGTATCAGAACTATTGGGATCGACCATCTCGACGTCGATGCCTACCTCTAGGCGATAGGCATACAGTTGCCAACATACTGAGGAGTTCTGGGGCTATTCTGGACACGACAGATCTCTCCACAGACTTGCCTGGACGCTTCATAGGCTTCTCTTCCGAATATGAAGTTCATTGGTGGTATCTGGAGTTCTTCTTGTTCTCCACGCCCAAGGTTGAGAAAATTACTATATACGACGCATGGCAATGGGACGACCACAGTTACTGGTTCAAGAGCCTGGCTGCCAACCCAATTCACTTCGAAAGTCTTCGATCCATTACCGTATTCGGTCCTCTACGCCTGAGAAATATTGTGCCGCTTCTGACTCTGCCTTCCATACACGCCTTAGATCTTACACAAGTCGTCGATATGCGCCAAGAACCCGACAGGGAGTTTTCATGGGCCCATGACGGCGAATACTACGTTGACCAACGATTGGCGAGTGGTTCGTCTCTTGAACATCTGGTTATACGGGAGTCAGATCTGCATGTCCCGTCTGCAGTGGGTATCCTTGAGAAACTTAACAAAGTCAAGAGTTTCACCTACGAGCATGTGTGTCATGAACTTGCATTGCATCCCGGGATGCAGCCGTCCATTTTCCCGTGGGTTGGCAACTTATGCTGGGGTCCAGATAGCTCTCTCGAAAGTTTGCATCTACGTATAGAGTCGTCAGTAGTGACGCATGAAGAGTTGACATCGCTCTGTCACCACGTTACTGGTCCTGTACTAGCAAGGCTTCGTACTCTGAACATCGGTCCCTGTAGTGTCAGCACTTTCAAAGGCTTGGATCTCGCACAATCTGAAGATCTACCAACTATAGCTTCTAGGATCGTAGCCGCATTTCCAGACACACTCGAAGCTCTACAGATCCAGTGGGCTTACGAGCGTGATGGAGAATGCCGGTTAAAATTCTTCGTTGATATCTTACGGTACTTGGCTGAAGCCATTACTGGTTCAAACTCTAAATTGAAGCACGTCTCTATCGTTGACTGGCCAGCACTTGCAGGCTGGTTCCCTTTCCAAGACCAAGTCATCAGTTTGAAGCGGTTATATGAACGCCGGGGATTGCAATTTGACATAGTCTACGAAGAGATTGAGAATGGAGAGCCACTGGCCGTCATGGAAGACGGGGAGCCTGGTTGGCTTTGGATCCAAAGGACGGAATATTTTGCGACACATTGCAGATTTTCCCGCCCATCGTCTAATCATGGCTAGCAGAGTGTGCGTATACGATCTTTGAAGCATTTATAGACGGTATCCACAAAGTTTCGTACGGGATCTGGGTGCGTGTTGGTGTAGCACTAGCAAACAAGACTACGTTGCGGCTGACACAGCTAACACGTGCTTGACCGGTTCGACAATCGCTAAATCATTAGCGTCTCTCACAACGCGGGGAAGCTCCTGTTCCCTGTCATCGTACTTGGCGTCAATTTCTTTTTGCGAAATGGGACAAGAGCTTCAATGCGTAGCAAGCCGTCAACGGCGGAGTATACCTTCACCAGCCGTTCACTCAGACGGCATAGTAGTCCAGATGGCTACTAATCTCCCATCCAAACCGGGCTTCGATACTCTTCCCAACGAACTTGTCATAAGCATCATCGAACGCATGCCGAACGATAACGCTAAGGATATATGCAATCTAAGCCTGACTAGTCGTCGCATGTACACGCTTTCTGTGGATCATATGTACAAAAGTCTTCTAGTACGACGTCCGTGGCCACTTCTGCGTACGTTGCGATCCAGCCCGGAACTTGCAAACCGAATTCGGGACATTACATGGAGGCACAACTTCAACGATCATGACGATACCGAGGAAAATCAAGCCGTCCTCTCCAGCTGCATCAAGTCTCTAGAGTCGTCTCACCAGGACGGATTGATGCGTGATTCTTCTGGGCTTCGGTGTGATCACGAGTTCATCGAGATACTCCTAATGTTCACTCCGAATCTCCGTACGCTTGCTATCGCAGATAGAGCCTTCTGGCCTGATGGCGAATATTGGTTCAGGAGGATCGCAAACAACCCGGATCGGTTCGTGCACTTACAAACCATCAATATACACGGTCCACTGTCAGTGGAGGCCATAGCATACTTGTTCCTCCTTCCTTCACTTCGGAACCTCATCGCTTCGGACTTAGTTCTCCCCGAGCGCACCGACAACAGACGAGTTTGGGATAATGAGATTCCGCTTAGGACAGTGTTAGACCCTGGTTCATCTCAAGTTGAGAAGATCGTGTTGAAGCGATCAGTTGTGGAGGTGCCGACGCTAAAATACTTCACCGAAGCTTGCAGAGATTTGAAGAGCTTCGCATATGAACAGGACATCAACAACGATCAGCGTGGCATGCATTCTCGAAGTCTCCTATCGAAGTTTGGCGAGCTTTCAGCAGCTTTCATTCTCAACCGCACAACACTCGAGCACCTCTCTATCCGCGGTGACCATCAGATGCTTCGTCAGGAGCACGTACTACAGGTAGCACGATTGGCTTCCAACATGTCAAACCTTCGTTCGCTAGATATGGGCTTGATCACACATGACGACGACCCGATACAATGCACCTCCGATTTTGTAGCAAAGATGGTACGCCTTCTTCCGCCCACACTTGAAGAAATGAGCTTTGAGATTGACTGGCAAGAGCACTGGGGCTCGAGAGGGTGGGAGGGGCCAACAGAGATGTTGCGCTATCTCGCTACTATCGCTTTTCCAAAGCTGTCCTTGAAGAAAGTCGCTGTGGTGGATTGGCCGCCTTTCTTGGGTCATTTCCCGCCAGACTTTGCACAGCTACATCAGTGCTTTGCGGAGCAAAGCATAGATTTCGTATCCGTTCCCGCCAGTATCGAAGGGCCGGATCCGCTGCAGTTGTTAGACTTCGTAGAGCCGGGGTATGTGTTCGTACAAGTCGCTGTTGCCGAGTACGCGTAATTGCGTTGCAGTCACGTGGTACCGCAATATCAGTCGTGTGAAGATCAATGCAGCTACTCTGCGTTCTTTCCAATCAAAAATGAGACTTTGCGATCCATTCATAGAATCGGTGGTGGGTGAATGAAGAGCTGAGCGCGCTAGTGAGATATTAGCGTCAAGCTATGACTCGCGTGGAGGGCAGCTATAATGTACGTCATGTTCAAGTTACAACGCGCCCCTCCACATCTCTTGTTCACAAACTATTCTCGATATACGGCCCGTCACCGCGACTTTGATCATCTCAGATGGCGCAAAAAAGTGACCATCTATTACAGCGTCCTCTCTATGGTAAAATATTGCTCCCTCCACGAGCGCGCATGGAATTAACGTCCACAGTGTTTGATCTGCCCGAAGAGCTGTTGGCCACACTCACTCTCAAAGACCAGCCCGAGCACCCGATAGAAGAGACACCGCCTCAAATACCGACGACTGCAAACGACTCTTCCAATACCGCCGAAGAAGAGAGCAACAGCCCGGCAAAAGCGACATCGTGCAACCTCTGTGGGCTCAGCTTTGCATCTCTTGCAGACCAGCGCAATCACGTCCGATCAGACCTACATGGATACAACCTGAAGCAAAAGATAAAAGGTGCGAAGCCTGTAGGCGAGGCTGAGTTCGAGAAACTGATCGGAGATCTGGACGAGAGCATATCAGGGTCTGAGTCATCAGAATCCGACGAGGATGAAGATGCAGATGGAACGAAGGCCAAAGAATCCACGCTTAGTGCGCTATTAAAAAAGCAGGCCAAGATATCAGACCCCGAGTTTGACGAGTTTTCCTCACGGAAGAAGCAGAGAGGACCTGGCAAGCCTCCGTTGATGTGGTTCACGTCTCCTTCAATACCCGACAACATGTCACTAGGCGTGTATCGCGCCATTCTTTCGAATACAGAGCAGGAAGAGGAGTCGCATGTTTTGGACGCTTTACGCAAGAAGCAGCTTTCTCCGAAGCAACCCCCAAAGATCAAGGCGAATGAGGCCGGTGTCCCGCCACCAGGCATAGATATCGGGCCACATTACTTCCTATGCATGATAGGAGGTGGCCACTTCGCTGCCATGATAGTCGCACTGGCACCGAAGATAGGAAAGAATCACACTGGATTCGATGAGCGATCGGCGACCGTAGTTGCGCACAAGACATTCCATAGGTACACCACACGACGAAAACAGGGAGGTTCGCAATCAGCCAACGACAACGCAAAAGGCAATGCACACTCTGCCGGTTCATCGATCCGTCGTTACAACGAGACTGCATTAATCGCTGAAGTTCGTGAGCTATTATCTAGCTGGAAGAACATGATCGATACCGCAGACTTGATCTTCGTACGCGCAACCGGCGCGACGAACCGGAGAACTCTTTTTGGTCCGTATGAAGGACAGGTTCTGCGTCATAATGACCCACGCAATCGAGGCTTTCCCTTCAGTACCCGGCGGGCGACTCAAAAAGAGCTGATGCGTGCGTTTATTGAACTCACTCGAGTGAAGCAAAGTGCTATCGATGAAGCAGCGCTTGCTGCTCTGGATTCTTCTAGAAAAGAAGCGGCTGCTCCGACACCAATCCCAGAAAAACCTAAGCCTAAGAAACCAACAAAAGAAGAAGAGGCTGCGACATTACACACTTCACAGATTATACCCATGATTAAGCGTTCGAAAGTACCTGCGCTTCTCAACTACCTCAAAACAAACAACATCCCACCAAGCTTCAACTTTCTCCCCACCAATCACCACACACCGACGCCGCTGCATCTTGCTGCATCGCTCAATTCTGCTCCTATCGTCTTCGCGCTTCTGACGAAAGCCGGTGTCGATCCAGCTCTGATGAGTGGCGAAGCGCGGACCCCTTTCACGCTGACTGGCGACCGTGCAACCCGTGACGCCTTCCGTGTTGCCCGTTCCGAACTCGGAGAGTCAGCTTGGGATTGGGAGAAAGCCGGAGTGCCTACAGCCATCACCAAAGCTGAAGCTGACAAGCGAGATGCTCAAGAAAAGACCGAGAAAGCTGCAGAAAGTAAGGCTGAGGCTGACCGGCGGAAGGCTGAGACCGAGCGCGTACGGAAAGAAAGCGAGGCTGAAGAGGTCAGGAGAAAGCAGCAGAGGCTAGGCAAGGGCAAGTCATTAGGCGCGCTACCTGTCAAGACTGGAGCAGATTTGAGAGAGGAAGAAATGAGGGGCTTGACGCCAGAAGCGAGAGCTAGAATGGAAAGAGAACGGAGAGCTAGGGCTGCTGAAGAGAGGCTCAAGCGGATGGAACGTTGAAAGCGCTTCTATGGGACTCATAATTTCTTACCCGCGTGTTAGCCTATCGGGGAAGAAGACTTTCTGCACGCTCGGCTGTGTGAATGACTTGTAAGAGTAACGCGAGATTCCACATGGTTGTATCATCGACTCTCGTCGTTCGGAACAACTAAATGATCACGAATCACACTTTGTGTCCAACGTAAACCATTCGCCTGGTTATTTCATACTCATGTTCTTCACATGGGTTGAATGAGGTAAAGACAACTACTTGCCCGAATTGCTTGGACATAATGAGCAATACTAATGGTAACAAGGGAGGGAAGAAGGTAGATGATGAAATCAGCACGGGTTAACATGGATCTCAGAGACCGCCAAGCGGGCATTAGAGATAGACCGCGAGAATAGACAGAACAGCAAACATAAGTGAAAGGGTCCAAGACGCTCCTAAACCAAACACATGACACCGCCAAAGCTGCCTCAGTCTTCGCATATCTTGTCTATTATTCGTCACAACAACAACTGCATACCATACGTATTTTTCACCATGACAACTACTCTTCAACCTCGCACTAGCGAAACAACACCACTTTATCTCAGTATACGCCTAACGACTCGCGCAAAGCAGAAGCCAACTATCGGTACGTATGATATCGCTTATGCGGATGAACCGTTGGAGCGAATGCGAGACGATCACGTCCAGCCTAAACTGCAACACAACCGCTATGGCAACGTGATTTCACAACACTCGTGAGTGTATACCTCTGCCGTCTTCACACCTGCCCCTTACGCTCGCTCCATGAGGATCACTATGCGATGCTACGATGACAAGGTCTCAGACACACGGCTATCCATCATTGCAGTCGATGAATATAAGCACATGTCCGAAGGAGCTATGCGAGAGGATATCGCTCGCTATATCGATGCAGTAGTGCAGACTCTAGCAGGTCAACAAGCGCAGATAAGACAGGTGATGACTAGCACGGGCTATGATATTGACCTTCAAGATCCAGTGACCGGACAAAACAATTGGTGGTGTCTACTGCAATGGTCAGCTTGCAACACGAGGGCGTATCCAATTGGGAGACGTATTCTGGAACAGAACACGGAGAGAATGAGAGAAGTTCATGAGGATTGGGAACGGGAAACAGATTGGGAGGCTTTCGGATGTGTGGAAGAGGGAAAGAAAGAGCGGTTGGAACTCCATGCTGCGTTGGACTTGGTCGAGGTGAACACTGACGTTGAAGAAGAAACGATAAAGTTTGGAACGGAGGGGGACAGTAAGATGATCGGAATGAGTGCAGAGCATATGATATGACTGAGAGAAAGAGATGATCATGAGTTGGACGCGATCTACTACAGACTTCTAGAAGAAGGTACGAAGTCTTCTTCCGGGAACAAGCTACACCTTACGCCATGATCGTAATGGCGCTGATCAGGAGTAGGAAGATGATATGATGGTGTAGTGTGTATGAATATCCAACATATAATGCCTTGACACTACCTCTCAGATCCAATATTCGACGTTATACATGATAGCAACTGTAATCTTTTGGGGTTCAATCTTAATGCCCAATGACGTCACCCCTTCAGTGAACTTCACCGCAAACTTCCATCCTGTACTACCACTACCACCACCACCACCACCGAGGCCGATCGCAACCTGTCTGAAAATGTCATCCACCAATATTCACGACCAGGAAATAGACGCGCGATCCCGCTCGGCACTTGCTTCGACACGGCGCAACCTCCGCTACCTCTACGACCCGAAAACCGCGCCCAATGCCGTATCTTCACGCCGCACACGCGCGCTTCTCCGTGTCGTGCGCTCCGGAATCATTTTCGCTTTCTGGAAGCTTGTGAGGTATGCGAAATACGTTGCAATTGGTTCGCTGGTGGCGACGATAGGTGCTGGGGCTTTTGGCACATTTGTTAGTGGGGCGGGATTCGTATTAGCCCCGACAGGCATTGCAGGCACAATTTTCGCCGCGACAGTTTGGGGGGCGGGGAGATTTGCTGTTAAGAAGGTGAAGAAGAGGTGGGGCATGGGACAGGATTACGAGGATGATGAAGAGGAGTGGGAGGACAGAAGACACACGGGAAGGAGGATCGACTTTGGCGCGGAGGCTATGCCTTGGTGAGATATGGTTGAAAAATGATGAGGGAGTGGCAATCCTGCGATGCATTTGTGATACAAGGTCACGGATATCCAGAGTGTTGAGACAAGAGTGATCTGTGGACAAATATGAGTACGACACCTTTCGACAGCCCAATTTCCTGCAACTACTTCGACCTTCCCGTTCGCATAGCCGTTTTTGCGTGTCCGCAAACACCAGCAAGATGCTACAGGTCCACCTTCTCTTCCGCATTAACACAATAGCCACGACACATCAGCCTTCCTAGGATCCTTTTGACCAGCAACGACCCTTCTTCCGTAGCATAGACGTGGTCAACACGGTCCTTCTGTTACGCTACGACCGCGCAATATTCTCCTGGACCATCGTTAGATACTACTTTGCCCATTACTATACCTGTTGTCTCTGTATGGTCGCTTGTGAGGCATACCACGACCCCAGTGTAACCATATCTATCATACACAGCACCCTTTCTGTGGCCAAAGCGCAAGAGACTATGCAAAACATGGCTGGTATGGTTGAGGAGAGCGTCATAACGCGGCGGCAGGCGTGTGGAGAGGGTTGGAGCTGGGACGCAGGCGCAAATCAGGACGGATAGCTTATCAAATCGAAGACCACGTGGGGAGGAGAGCACTGTGTGAAAATTGGCTCGAACACTAGAAGAACCTACTCGTATCTCCTTGAGTTGATCGCGTGTGAGGATCTCACAGAGGAGCTAGCAAAGGACGTTAACGGTGAGGTGGGAGACTGAGACGAGGTCGAGCGAGGCGGCGATCAAGAGAGGGCGAACACCAAGGCCGTGAGTTCGAAGGCGACGGAGCAAGAACACGAGTACGGCGATTTGAACATGAGGCTACGTGAGCAATTTGCCTATCAATTTGCTAGACGACGAATCTATCAAAGGGATCAAGTATCGGGCGAACAAGATATGGTATCATTCCAGAATGGCACGTAAACTAACTCGACAACGTTTTTCTATAACACAGATGGGCGCAAAAGCGCTTTAGTGAAGCGCCACTAAATACAACCCTGACCTTGAGTATTCTAGTGGCCGTGCGAGTGCGCATGCCCTATTTGGGTGATGAGCGGAAGTAGCATGCCGATCATTACAATGCTTATATCGCTCTTGGACATGCTGCTGTTGCCAGGATAGGCATCCATGTAGCCGTTTGCTGTGGGATCTTCATACGCGTGCTGAGATGCTGTGGCTTCAGACATGGAGTGCATGGCCACATACCTATGTTGAATCAGTATACGAGAGGGTTTTAATAGAATATGAAGGACTTACAAGAAAGTTCCACCGGAGAAACATAACACCCAACCAGTAGCCCATGTCAGACCTTCATCACCACCCAAGTGGTTGCGTCCAAACATGTGTACAATAGCCCAAGTAGCCAACGCGCCAGCTGGGGCCGCTAAACTGAAGAAAGCCAGATGTGTCCGCGCCTTTCGTTTCGAAAGCCCTTGCTTGAGAAGGACGGAGGTGAGGCCAAACGCTGCAGGAGCTTTGTGCAGCATAATCGCAAAGAAGATGACCAGCGATAGAGACGTGGATTCGGCTGTGGAGGAAGCACCCAGTGCGATTCCATCGGCACATGCGTGTACAACCAGACCAATGGTGGCTGCTGGTGTCTTCTTCGTGGGTGGCGGGGGGAGACCGGGTGTCGCTAGGGGTGTTACTGCAGCGCTCTGCATACCCATTCCGTTGAGACTCAACGAAGATGAGTTGTGCGGTCCACGTGCCAGGTTGGACAAGGAGATATGCATTGGTTGGTACTTTGGTTTCGCAGAGGCCATGGCTTCTGGCAGGTGCTCGACCAGGAACATCAAAATGTATCCTAATATCAGAGCAACACCAATATATGCGTGTGGGCTGGGCCCGTCGTCATGGCTGGCTTCAGCGTGTCCTTTAGCTGGCTCGTCGTCTTCGGGGGCGTGCACGCGGGTATGACCCTCCTTGTGGCCTTCTGTCGAGTCGTCGTCTCCACCTTTCTGCGGATGGGGATCCTCGGCTGGCTTCTCTTTCTCCTTGCTGTCCTTAATCTTCTTCAGCTGCATGTCAATAGCAGCTTTGTCGCTAGTCATGTCTACGGCGCCCGGTGCCTTGACTGCTCCTCCAGTGAGCGAACTTGGTTCCAGTTGATCCGCCCTCTTCCAGCTCGGGAACTTGGCTGGATGAGGTATCTCTTTTTGCAGGCTCATGACGGACGGGATGGTTTGGACGCTTCGCGCACTATGCGAGTGTGTTTTGCTTCCCGCGCTGTACATGGTCTCGATGCCTTCGGGTATGATGACGATCAGCGAGGTGCCTACTAGCACACCGGTGCCGAGCAGGGTGATGATGCGCAATTGGCGGGTGGAGAGGTTAAAGGAGAGGGGGAGAATGCCGGCGAGGAAGGAGCTGTGCACGTCAGAGTTGGGTCGTGTACACTGTAACGGTTGGAGACATACGCAACAGCCATGACGGTGCTCAGAGCGAGCAGCATGAACAATCCGTCCCACATATTGTCGTCGTATGCAGCGCCGTCCCCTAAGCGGATGTACCAAGAAAGAATGCGCCGAGTGCAGAGAAAAGAGAAAAAGGTTGTAAGCGGTTCAATCGACGCTATCCATGCCTCGAGCAGCCGGCCGTCGCAGTATGGGTGAGGTGGTGGTGGTGTGGGTGGTGAGGGTTGGGGAGTTGTGAGGCTGTTGTGGACAAGTTGGTGGCATAGCGCAACTTTCTTGAGGCTTGGTAGCAGGGGCGGCAACGACGTAGTGCTACACTAAAACGCGTCTCCCGTCGCGCTAGTCGCTCCTTCACTTTGCGCGCTGCATCCACTTGACCCCGGTCGCGTACCATCTATTCCAGCAAACACCGCCATTATGGAGCTTGACTTGGACGACTGTAAGTCGCAGCACCCATCACCACAAGCAACACCAAGGTGCAGCATGGACAGCTTTGGCGCATAGCTCGCTGACATTGCCTAGGGGTCACCAACTCCAACGAGTGCTTCCACATCAACCTCTACCGCACATCAAACCAGAACGGCCCAGAACGCATCCTCGACGAATCCTTCCACCCAAGCTTCACCCACACTGTCATCGAAGAGAACGAGACAATCGCGGGGTACAAGAACCCAAGCATCGAGCTTGACTTTCGCGCAAACGACCTCAACCCGAAACTGAAGATATCCTTTGACCAGGAGCTTGACCTCAAGAAGATCTCCCCAGATCTGAACCAGGTTGATCTATCCCCGGAGCTGTTCCGCGAGTACCTACCCGAGTCCATCGATGATGCTGCTGGCGCTACGTCTTCAGATTGGAGCCCACCGGGAGAGCGTATCAACACCTTCGGTCTGTACGGAAAACAGTATGAGATATGGAAAGCTCCAATGACTGATCCCGACGCTCGACGCATCTGGACGAATATGAAGATCCTCAACCTGCTATTCATTGACGGCGCGACATTAGAGGGCTTGGAGGATGAGGAGACGCTTGATCGTTGGTCACTGTACCTTCTGTACGATGTGACACCTCTGTCAGACGCATCGCTTTCCCCATACACACTCGCCGGTTTCTCTACATCGTATCGCGCTTGGGTCTTTCCCACCTTCGACATTGCGCGTGCTACCAAGCAGCTGCCATCTCCAGCCGAAAGCAGTAATGGTGACGCTGGGAAATATACACCACCTCGTCTGACTCAAGATCCCGACACTTTCCTCTTTACCGACAAGCTTGATCTTCTCGAGACGCCGTCGAGGGAACGCATTTCACAATTCCTCGTCCTCCCTCCATACCAAGGTCAATCGCTCGGAAGCCGCTTGTACGATGCCATCTTCCACGAGTTGGTGAATAAGCCCTTCATTTACGAGATTCCGATTGAGGACCCAAGCGAGGCTTTCGATGCCATGCGAGATTACAGTGATATCACATACCTTCGTAAACTTCCCGCCTTCAAGGACCTGTCAATCGCCTCAAATCTTTCCCAAGAGTCGTTGAGAAAGGATTCACCAATTCCGCGGGACCAAATCCTCGGGAACGGCAAAGACCTTGAGGAGCTTCGAAAGAGCACCAAGATTGTGAGCAGACAGTTCTACAGGATGGTCGAGCTTCATTTGTTATCAACAATTCCGCCAAACAATCGAAACCGTGCACGAATCACAAGGAAAGCAAAGTCTACCAACGAGAACGATAGAAAATACTACTTCTGGCGGTTGGCCCTTAAGCATCGAATCTACAGCCAGAATGCAGACGCGCTGGATCAGATGGAGGATGTCGCAGAGCGCGTGGAGAAGCTGGAGTCTGCAGTCAACTCGCAGCAGGAGGAGTTCGAGGAGCGTCTGGAGGGGTTGGAGAAGCGTCAAAGTCTTGCTGCTGACGAAACGTCTGCTCCAGCAGCGGGTGCAAGGAGCAAGAGGAAGAGAGCGGTTGTGGTCGAAGACGACGAGGATGACGAGTGGGAAGACATGGATCAAGTGTCAGTTGCTAGCTCAAAGAGGATGCGATCGTAGAATAAAAGGCTGTGACGGTGTCTGAGGTATCCAGATGAGGGTGGCGGCTTTCCTGGTTGATCAGGGTGTCTCGAAGATCGTAATCGGTGTCGAAGCCTTGCCCTGAGGTCTCATTGGTAATTATAGTTTAGGCAGTATACCCAATCCACGAAATGTTCTTGCGCCATTACCAAAAACGCGTAATTGATACTCGGCTGGGTAACGATGCTATTTCTACGGCGATTAAAAGTTAATCTCCGCGCGGGGCAGAGCTACCCCACGCCCAAATTTTGGAATCTGAACGTCGAGCCTGAACCGCATCAACGCTGCGCAAACACAATCACCCAGCTTTTCTCGTGAAGTCTTCGGATAATTCATATACACGATGCCAGATCGTCAATTCAACCTCACTGTCCTAATCTCAGGCAATGGCTCAAACCTCCAAGCCCTCATTGACGCATGTGCATCCGGTGCCCTCCCTAACACGCGCATAACACATGTCATATCAAAGTATGTTGGCCTCTAAGTAAGATTCCTCGATAAGACACCTAATATACCCGCAGTCGCAAAGCAGCATACGGTCTCGAACGCGCCAACAAAGCCTCGATACCAACAACCTACCACAATCTCGTTTCCTACAAAAAGAAACACACAGACGACAAGGCCCGCGAGGAGTACGACGGCGATCTTGCAAAGATAATTCTACATGGGCAACACCCACGCCCTGACCTTATTGTTTGCGCAGGCTGGATGCACATCGTCACCACTTCCTTCCTTTCACCCATTGCCGAAGCCGGTATCAAGATAATAAACCTACATCCCGCTCTGCCGGGGGAGTTTGCTGGTGCGAAAGCAATCGAGCGTGCGTGGACGGCGGGTAAAGAGGACGGGTTGAAGAGAACTGGCGTTATGATACATGAGGTCATTGCGGAAGTTGATGCTGGAGACGCGATCGTTACACAAGAGGTAGAATTGAAAGAGGGAGAGACACTGGATGGTTTAGAGGAGAGGATTCATGCGGTTGAGCACGGGTTGATTGTTGAGGGAACAAGAAAGGTGCTTGGGGGTTTGGGGAACAAATCGTGAGGAATGGTCGTGGGTGCGATGAGTCAAAGATAGGATGTTATGATACCCAAAATGGATGATATGGACACATGTGTGAGCCAGGTGTGATGGGTTTTATGCATGAGGGCTTATACAATAGAAATCAAAGGATTATCGTGCGAGATTTTAGGAGTTGTCATCTTACTAACGTTATGAATTATGTGCAGCTAATACGAGTAGTCAGGTTCGACAGTCACGAGCTTACGGCTACGTCAGATTGTGGCCATACTCCACGATTCCATGCTCCTGTCACTTCTGAAAGGAAGAATGACAATCTGAAGAGGACAAGAGTAAAGAAGGAGGTTATTGCAATACAATCGGATAGTTGAGTTAGACTAGCTATACCCGAAACATTCTATTCAAGTCTAACTACCCCCGCTACGTACTAAACTCGACTCAATGTGAATTGCCGAGGAGGTCTTCCGAAGTGTGGTAGAAGCCGCTTCATTGAGTGAGTTTTGGATGTCCTGGGTACTTAGACCACCATGATGCACAGACTTAGTTCGAGGTAGTATAAGCTTGGGGTCTAATCACAACAACTTTCTTGGAAATCATGTTTTGCTCGAGTATGTCCGGTATTGAGCGGATGATGCGGTCGTCTATAGGGAACATCGGTTTGTATAGCTTTCAATCGGCAACAAACCCTAGAACGTGCAGCGAGCCACTTTGCGAAAACAGGGTATTTTTTGTGTTGTCGGATCGTGGGCTGGACACTCGAAAGGACCTATATGCCGCGAGAGCTTGTCGCTATATTTCCATCATCTACATATTCGAGTGCTTTCATGCTGCGATTGTCTAGTCATCCTTCTTGAGATAGTTGACCAAGTCGACCATTTCAGATTGTGACATGGCGGAACTCATAGCTCGATATGCTTCGTACAGAATCCAGAGAGGGAAGACGACCCACAAGCCATTAAAGAATGCAAGGTACAGCCAACTGCTGCGTGTTAGTCAAGAACCACTACTCCTAAGCTATACGGTGTACGAGATTGGCAGCTGACACAGGCCGAAGGAACACGCCAGATTCAGCGTGATTACATATACAGCTTGCATGTTTTGTGCGTTGTTGTGTTGAGTTGTGTGGTCGTAGTCGAGAGATGAGAAGTGGGTCCGCGGGAGATGGCGCACCGGACAGCGCATATGCAGGACCAGCACATCACTGCTCTTAGACCAGGAACGACACATTCAACGCATGTGAAAGTGTTCACTTTGTGTGTGGATTTGTAGGTGAACGCACATGAAGAAGAAGGAATGGACAGTTGCAGCTGTGCAATGGACCAGAGGTGCGACGCAATCCTCCCACAACTGTCCAAGAAGACATGACCGTGAAGAATGGAGAATACACAACGAACGTGAACCATAAACTTACAGATACATCCAGTTGCTTGTGTCGAGATTGGGGCTTCCAGTCAGCCACTCAGGCGCGAAAGTCATCCAGCCTAATGTAGCGGTGAACCACGTGTCAGCCACATACTCGCAACAACGCAGTGTTGTCTCATCTCAACAATCCTCGGGCCGGGCCCACATCTCGCTTCACTAATTGTAACAGCTTCCATAACTTGCACATACTAGGCATTAACGGGAACAAAGTAATGAGAGTGTTTGTGACTCACCTCCGTATATCTCCCCTGTGGCCAGTACTATCATCCAGAACCACTTCTTCAACACACCTTTCTTCTCATCTTTCGAGAGAAGATAGCAGATCCAACATGCCAACGGGCCCGCAACAAAAACAGTCAGTATCTCGAGAGCCACAACCGTTAGATCCGTACCTCCCCATCGCTTGTCCGCTTTGGCATACTCCTGCCACAACCGACTCAATGGACCCGTCCCATAGTTCGCTCCATAAAGAAGATCTTGCCTGCCGAGCCAATATACGTCTGGAGGTGTGAAGAGCGTGACTTGAGGGTGGTTGCGAGATGCGGCAGAGAAAGAGGTGGGAAGCGAATACGTGACGAAGAAGCAATTCCAGAGGAAGGAGCCTTCGAACACAAAGTGGATGAGAGCGTCGAAAAAATGCCAGATGAAGAGTACGCGTATCTTGAGGGAAGTTGTCTTTGGCAGGACTTTTATCGAAGCACCATAAGCGCCACCGAGCAGAGCGAGTACAGCTAAGAGCGATATCACGGTCGTAGCGTCGATTTCCGGACCTGAGCGGGGAACAGGCGGCGGTATAACGGGCGGCGGCGGAGGCACTTTCTTGCTACCGAAGAAAGACATCGTGACACGTTGAAACGACGAACACGGGACCACGATGCGGCTCGGCTGGGACACAACTCGCTTGTGTTGTGGATGAATACGCGCTCGGATGCGGCTGTAGAAGATGATTCAGGGTCCCAGGGACGCTAACGAGCTTAGACCATGGTCACATGGCTGGGGAGGTCACGATCCAGAACCAATAGCTTCACAATCGGCGGTAGAAGGCATGCTCACGAGGTGCACCAAGGTGGATACATCGTGAAATTAGGGTAAGCGTTTTATGACATGTTTTTGCATTTACTACTATATAGGGTCGTAGGTCCACGTTTCCGACAGCTTTCAACGCTGATCTACCCGGCCCAAGTAACAATGAGATTTCCAGCGCCACATACGAACGAACGCGATATCGCACAATTGATATTACAGTCGACACAATTTAGACAACGACGTTCTCGCATTCTTTGCCGCTCCTACCGCCTATGTACGAGGATTCGGATCAACGAGTCCTATGGATGATGAGAAAAGCGCTCCAAAATGCAAAACCGTCCCAAGCTTTTGCGAACCCGCAGATCAGGAGCGACCGTCAATAAACGCCGAAACCAGAGTGGGGTTGCTCATAGAGCATTACAACACCAATCTATGGTATGAGGAAGGATAGAGAAAGAATAAAGATGATGGAGGAACGCCATAATGGGACCCAATGTACGCCGATGAAAAAGACATGCAAGAAAGCCAACAGGAAGATGCTGCAAAGGAGCCGTCCGGATTATGCTGGATGAAACGATCGTCTCTAACAAGACGTCGCGAGGAACGCTAATCGCTGGCCCACAACGTTTCGTACCGTAGTGAAGAGATTCGTGAGCGCTCAGTTGCCGGCAGACCAGGAACATCCGCTCCACTCGTCCATCAGTCAGGTCGTAAGCGTACTTCGTGTCCAAAGAGATTCGTTACGCGGGAAAAGCAAGTATTCCGCAATTTCAGGTGATGCAGTGACTTCTTAAACGCAAGCCTGGGGTGTATGGCTACGCTCGATGAAGACGCCGCTTGGCATACTGTAGCCGTACTGATATTGAGGGGTGTATTGATCCTCGGGTGAGTAGCCGGTAAGAGGCCCAGACGAGGGTTGATGAGAAACAAAGGGTGATGAGCTTCGAGGGGTGACAAGGTCACTCGCGCCGTCAACCATGAGGGGCATGGCAGGCGATGGAGGACTGCTTGTAGCCGAAGACTGATTGCTTCCAGTAGTGTGGGTGAGCACGTAATCCTGGGCTCCGTCGCCATGTGCGTTCTTTGTCGAAGGCGTAGTGACGTTAGGAGAAGTTTTACCAGTCGGTGTGCCAAACTGGATGCGAGTCAGTTTCCGTCTAGGCCAAGCTACCAGGGTGCTGAGGTGGAGGTTGAGAACGTACAAAGCAGAACTTCTGGATCAACTCGTTGTACTCGGCAGACTCAAGATCGGGCTTCTCAAGCGTCAGAGAGTCGGGGCGAGTACCAGGGATAGGGGCAGTAGAAGCGGGCGCCTTGACAGCGGGGGCCGGGCGGTCGAAGTAACCGTTGTTCATCTTGCCGTGGGTGTTTACCTTGAGTCCGCTGCGGTCACCAAGTGCCGTCTGGGCAGTGGAAAGAGCAGCCGACAGGGAGGCACCGAAGTCATAGCGAGAGGCAAAGGCCTGAGCGACTTGTGGACGAGATGAGGTCTGGGCTGTGTAGATGCTACTACGCTTGCTCCTAGGCTTGAGCTTGATCGACGAGTTGGGTGATTCAGCAATGATGGCACGGCCGCTACCAAACTGAAACCTGGTCTCGTTGTCGTGACCAAAGTCGTCGTCGAAAGAAGCAGCAGGCATGGAACGTGGGCGAGGAGCCAAAGGTGAGTGTCGGCTACGAGGAACAGCGCCGAGACTGGCAGTCGGGCGCTTGCTCTCACGATGTTTGATCTTCTTTGAGAAGTCAACCTGGTAGTTCATCGACTTGTTGTTGTCCCAGTACTCTTGGCCGTTAACCTGGTACCGAACACACAGTAGCAGAGTCTTGGATTCGAGGTTTGCCTGGTCAGCCAACTTGATATTGAAGTTGAATCGGTCGTAACCGTCCTCCTTCTGCTTCTTGCGAACATCCTGGTTGAACTCAGCAACCACCTCCGAGGTGGTCTTCCAGTAGTCTAATGTGAATCGAGCCACAACAAATTTGTGGAAGGAGAGGTTAGCTACTGCGATGTTGCCGACCAGCGTCTGGTGATCCGAGGCAAGGAAGATTCGCTCCACGCGAACAGGTGCTGTTTGCCTCTCATATGTCTCTTGTGTAGGGAAGTTCATCAGCTTGATCTCCCATTCAGGTGTCTTGGAGCGCGAGTCTTCGCCAAAGGGATACTCGCTTTCACTGTCGTAAGTCTCAACGGGGGATGAGCCCGCACTGACAGCGATGGGCCGGTCAACCTGGAGGAAATGCCTAACCTGCTCAATGTCCTCATTGAAGTGGACTGCTTTGGAGTAGGTTGGGGTACCAGGCATGCTTGAAGGGCGGCGGCGGGACGGGGGTCGAAGAGCAGGTTTGACAAGCTCGCCAGACTTCTTGCGCAGTAGCGGCGGTTTTATCCGCAGCTCCTCGTCCTCGGCATCGCTGCCATCTGATGAGCTGATGATTGTTTCAGTGCTGATGGGATGGATCATGTGTTGTGAAAGCATGATCTCGCTAGAGGACCGCGAGTGTGCAATCTTGCGTGCTTCTGCGGATAGTGTGCGCGCCAGAGTGACAGGAGGTTGTGGCCTTGGCTGCTTTACGTTCTCCGTTGTTTCCCGAGTAGGCGAAGGTATCCGTTTCTGGTCAATGTGCTGGAGTGCCTGTTGGAGTTCACGTAGGTCTCCGATACTACGACCGCGCTCTTCATCGTCCGAGGAATCAGGAGGAGTCGTGATCGCACCTGACGGAATCAGAAGATCGTTCACAGGAGGAGGAGACGGACGGAGGCTACCATTAGTTGAAGGTCCATGGCGGCTAGCGTCAGACTTGATGTCTACGCTTCCAGTTCCTTGTTGGCCGTTTGCGGCGGTGTTGTCGTTGGTGACAGATGACGGCGACCGACGCGACTTGGCCAGGTATGAGGTTGATGAGACGGAGCGGGGCAGCGAGGGGCGTTGCGATGTGGCTGGCGAGCGGGGAGCCTGATCGACATAGGAGTGGTTCCGGCTCAGGGTGGGACTGTTAGTCTTGGATGAGGCCGGCGACCGCTGGGAAGGGGGAGTGTAAGGCATTCGGTCGGCTTCGCGGGGGGGGCGAGGAAGCGGGTCGAATGTGTGGTGGTGGAGCGGCTTCAATGTGTAGAGAGCATTAAAAGAATTACTGTAACGAGGAGTCTGCGAGGGAACGTAAGCGAGAGCACCACAACGAAAGGACTGACAGAGTCCCGTGCCACAGCAGCTTGATGCGATGCGAGCCACTGGGTGTAGTCGCGGGGCGGGCTAGCTTACAGATATAGGTGAAGGAACGGCTTGCAAAGCTCGCTCTGGGAAGAAGCGGGTAGGGAAGGTTGCGACGTAGGCGGTCACAGCTAGCAAAAGCTGCAATGACGTCGGAATTGGCGGATGGGCTCGATCTGGGGGGGAATCGAGACGATGGTGAGGCTTTCGAAGGACCGAAAGTGTGCAGTATGGATGCGAGGCCGGTGGCTTCCGTATAAGCAAGCAGTGGGCGCTCGTACGATATAGCACTGGGAAGGAACCGTGGGCGAGGCGGTGGTGGAGTGAAGAGGCAGATGGGCCGTGTGTCAAACCAAGATGCACTCGTTGGCTGCAGCAGTCCTATTAAAAGGGTCTTCTGGCTGCAATGGGCCCGACAAGTGTTGAAGAGGAGGGATGGAGAAGAGTGTTGAGGGCGGTAGCGCTGAAGAAGCGTGCAGGGCCGCGACTATTGGGGAATCGTTGAACCAGGATGGTAGCGAAATCGAGGCCTCAAGCTCGGACGCAGGCAGGGGGGCAGACCAGGAGCTGCAGCACCAATGCACAAGTGGATCAAGGCCTTTTAGCTCAACCCCAACAGACCGGGGCACCACCAAGGATTTTCACCACGCAGCCAAGCGGCAGCAACCGGTTCTGACTACTGCTGCGAGAGGCCAACGGGAGCGGAGACAGGCGGTGCGTCGTACGCTGGGGGGGCGAAGAGAGGCAGGCCGACGGCGGCGGCTGCTGCGACAAGAGGTACTTTGGGGTACGCCGACTGCCTGGACTGCCTGGACTACCTGACTGTGCTATCGTATTGTAGTGGCGTCCAGGCGGGATTAGCAGATGATTCATGTTCTTTATCTCCCGACAACAAGCGAACGCGGCCTTGTCTGGCTGGCGCTGGCACGGCCACAGCTCGAAACGGTGCAACAGCGCGCTGCTGTTCTGCTCACCCACGCGTAGGCGGCCGGCTCTATTGCTCACACGCTGTCGCAGCCATATCGTACATGTCCGCCGCTGTTCGCTCGGATGCCGATGCCGCGCGCCTTCTCTCTACTCTACTGCATCAACCCAGCAGGTAGACATGGCCTGACAACAATAACAACAAGGCCGAGCAAACAGCCGTGGTGAACATCGTATTCAGCACTCGCAACTCAATCACTCGATCTGAGGTCAAACCGCATCGGCTCGGATGGGTTCGTAATTTGCCAGCCGTTGCCAGGCAATCGCTGGTCTCAGAAGCAAGCAACAACGCTCAAGCCATGCGAACAGGGCCCTCAGCGACATTGCGTGCACGTGCCATGTTCAAGCGAGGCTGTGATGTCATTGTTATCGCAACGAACCGTTTAACTTGCAAACGCTCGTCATTCCCACGCTTTCTACACATTCCAACGCTGCAATGCCGCAAAATCCTCAGGAGCAGCACGTCGCGGTACCTGAAGCCATCGGAGCGATAAGGGTGCGGCTTGCCAATCCGCCCGCCCTCCCATGAAAATTTCCCCTCCGCGACGCTCAACACAGCGAGATCGCCGGTGCCGCTTGCCGTTTGAGAAAGGGCGGTCGGGCCAATGCCAATCAAATATCGCAGGAGAAGGGGAGGCCTAGTCGCCATCCCAGTCGCAGTTCACTGGCCCCTGCGGCGAGTGGCTGACTGCAAGCGACCTCTCATGATATCTCTGTGAGCATTGTTGTTGTTACGATTGCCTCGCCGTCCACCGTGCTCTGCTGCAGCCCATGGGACTACATCAGTACCCCATCTTCGTCATCTTGACAACTGCGGGGCTCTGCTCGGACATCTTGCAGCTGTCGCGCGACAAACTGAAACCGCGTCGCTGCGGCATCGCTGACCCGACCGGTTCGGCATGGCCATCTCGAAACATATGCCATTGGCTCTCTCTAACAGACCGGCTTCACAGCTTCCCCGCATTATCACCGCCGGCCCAGTCGAGCCTCGTATGCAGCTAAGCCCATCACAAAAGCATGTACGTGTCGTGGATGAGCTGATCTCCTGCAACACATGTCCGCGCAAAGGGTTCCTTAATCTGGCGCGCCTACGCGTGGCCGTTGGAGCTGCCCATCGTTCATGGGCTGACACGCTGAGTACATGCGGCTCGCCTCAAACCCGACGCGACGCTGCACTGCAGTGGCTGAGCGCCTAATTTGTTTTGGCAACCCTCAAGTGCACTGACAGATTAAGCCTCGCCCCGCTAACTTTCTGACAACCACGGTTCTTATCTTGCTGGAGATTGCTCTATTGAAAGCTAACACTGGCCAAACCTTGACTGTAATCAGACGTGGGCAAGGCGGAATACGGGTCGCGGCGCAATTACAGAAACCTACTGCACGAAAGCAGGCTTCTCGCCAGGCCCTTTGTCGGAGATCAAGATTTCCATACTGCTCGCAAGGTTATTTCGACAATTTCGATCCTGCCCAGCTTGAAACGTTGCCTTCGGAAGGTCGCGACATAGCGAAGCTGGCCAGAACGAGGCCCACCGGGCACGCTAGCCCCCATGCTGACCAGCGCCCTGGCGTGATCCACTTGGCGTCATGTCAGACTGCTGCTCCCATCTGGCAGAATCCGAGAGTTCCCTCCACTCAGCTTCCGCGGAACAACCCTCTCTACTCACCGCCCGACAGGGTCCGAGCCATGTTATCATCGATTTACTCCAGTTTGTCGATCTCCGCACGCTCATCGAGCGGGGCATGGCCCAGTTCCACCTCAAACTAACCCGCTTTCCGATGTACTCCGCGACATCATGATCGCGAGAATACCACGGAGCATGAGCAGCGCATTGCTGAGCACGACTCTTTCTGTATCACATTAAACAAGTATTGATGTATTAAACGCTTCATACCTGCCGAAGGATGTGAAGCAAATTGCTTCCGCCTTCGTCTCGCTCCTAGAATCGACGACTCCTGGAGTGCCCCACGCGGCTCTGAATGGATGCAGGCCCGCAGCCGCACACTGGTTCACTACTAAAAAAATGCATTTTCGCCGTCATATCGAGCGGGTCCAAATCCTGGTGGGTTTGCTGGTCTGTCAAGCGAGACGTCACTCAATCGCAGGACCAACCTGATGGGATTATCATCGTGGTACGCGACAGACATGTCCACAAAGAAACCAAATGGCATTCCCCGATGATTTTCTCTGTGCTCAACAGATGAGCAACGCAGATCTACTAGGAAATACTCCGTGCGAAAACGGGGCTGTCGGTGCTTTGCTGGGCGCGTAACGTCAGATTGCCTTGTTGCCAACTTTCAATAACGCTGCCCAAGGCCGGATACAGCGAAGCGATTAGGTTCCAGTGTCCACTTGTCAGAATATTATTCACGACAACAACCATTTAGAGCAATGCCACGTACCATCTTGCATGTCACGGACCGCAAGAACTAAGAATGGCATCCCCACACAAACGGCAATTTGCTTTGAATACCGACTGTTTAGCAAGATCACGATGCGTGACGTCAAATTTCACCTTCCGGATGACTCTTGCAAAAGAAAAACTGGATATCCCACTCATTTTCGCCTGCCGCGCGCAAGAATACCCTACCTATCAATACTGCAACGCCGATGTTTTGTCAGCGCCTGTCCTTGACAGCCCTTCACCGCTACTTGGCCGTCCATTTTCATTGTTGCAAAGTTCACATCCACTCAGAGTTCTGCTTTTTATTGGATATTCTTCCAAATGCGGATACAGGCAGAGTCTCATGACTTCGAGTCAAGCAAGGTAAAGAGCCGTCGCATCCGTGCAGAGGGATGTGGCAGACGTCTCCCCGTCTGTGCCCCACCCCACGATCTTTGAACTTCCGGGCCGAAAACACTAAGCTATCCACTGACAAAACTTCCAGTAAAGGACCGATGATGATCGTGATCGCCAACTTTGTTCGCACTTCGCAAGTCGCGGACGGCACCAATATCGATGGCCTGACAATCTCGGGTGAACTGGGCGAAGCACATCATGAGATTTACGATATGATCGCACTTCACAGTTTGATGTTTGATATTCGCCGACGACAACGGTACCGAATCGAGCTACCTAACGTGTGGACTCTGGCTCCGATGCTCGATTTCCTGTATTAGAGCTGCGAACGTTGTGCACGTGGCAGCAACACACCTGAACAGTCGCTGATCCGTTTTCGTCGACTGTGGGAACGACGTCTTCTACCAAACAATCTCACATAGCTGTACCTACAGCGACGTGCCATTTGTACGGAGCACAGGTTCCGACCAGTCGAACTAGAAGTCGGAGACATTGAATATGCAGGGCAGAGGTTCGACATCATCGTGCGCGTACAGTAGTCTTACGCCCCCTTCTACATCTTTTCAATCTACAGGCTACATAACCCTTCAAACGCACACATCATCGTTCCATACATACTACGACACCATCAGGATCTGCTATCAGGAGTTTGCAACGATGACCTGGAAGATTGCTCGTTCCCTTAGTGGTCTTAGCTGGGCTGCCCAAATTCCGGGTGGCTTATGCTGTACGACAGAATACTATCTGGAGGGTTTTGTCAGCCAGTAGAAGGAACCTCTAACATGAGACCAAACTCGTTGCGCGACAGCTCGGCGATAACACCAACACCATCAGAGGTTCAGATCGCGGGGTAGGTCGCAGCCACAGATTAGAGATGATACTCATAGAGCATGATCCGTCCTGATTAGGTTCTTTTGAGCAGGTTCTTGCGGAATGCGGCGTCAGAAATCTTGAAAGCAGACACTCATTCCTTCCGTCCTGATAACGGCTATCTCGGCATCATTACATTACGCGAAGCATACCAGATTGTTCTAGCCCTCCTCGTCTGACATT